ATCTAGAAAACTTAAATAAGGGACCAGGAAAATGAATAACTATAAGAAAGTGAAAATCAAAATCAACAAAAAACTATGAACCAGAGACACTTTTAGGGGGGCAGGGTCGGGAGGAGAGGGATTGGGGTCAGAATGGGGGGTGCTGCCATTGTATGGGGAATATAACAATAAAATTTATTATTTAAATAAAAAAAAAGAAGAGCTATATTAAAAATAAAAAAAAATAGCATATGATTACTTTGGGTTTTTTCTTTTGGTGGGGAGCTCTGTCAATATTTGTGTTTTAAGTGGAGTTAATAAGTTTACATTTAACTTAGTTACTAAAATATGTGTTTAAATATTTAAGATACAGGGCCTCCCTGGTGGTGCAGGGGATTGAGCACAGCACGATGAGGCAATTCACAGCCTTTGCAGCACAAGTTCGATCCCAGGCCAGCCAGGGAGCAACACACATGGCAGAGCAGACCTCTCCTGACTCACCTGCTGTTCCCCTCAGCAGTGTACTTCAGTCAGTCTGCTTGTTCTGTTCCCCACTCTGTCTCTGGTGAAGGCTCTCATGCCCCCCCACTCTGACCCGTACCCCAGCTCTTATATGCATAAATAAATAAATCTTTAAAATAAATAAATAAATAAATAAATAAATAAATAAATAAATATTTAAGATATAATTAAATGAATTGTTTTCTACTTGCCTTACCTGTTCTATATTCTTTTTTTCTTATTTTTTACCTTGAATTATTATTACTTATTATTGCATTATTTCTTCTATTTCTTGGAAATCATACATTCCTTTAGTTTTTTCTTAGTAATTACACTGAAGAATAGAACATAAATTTTGATTTATCAAAGCATAAGGCTAATTGGCATTTTTATCTTTTTTCCAGACAATGCAAAGACCTTTGAACATTTGAATTCTACATCTTATCAGGCTTTTATATTATTAGAATCATTTATTTTAGTTCCACATATAATTTAGAACATTCAAGTTATTTCTGTTATTGATTGATATGGTCAATAGCAAGATATCTAAATTTTCCTAATGCTTCATTGTTGCCTACATTTCTAATTGCCCATCTTCCTGTAGGCAGTATGGTTGTGTCTACCCCAAATTCAACTATTGATCCCTGGTCCCCATTATGACATTTGTGTTGAGATGAAGTCATAGGGGAGGGCCTCATGATAGAAGAAATGTCACTAAAGGAGGGACACCAGCAATCTTGCCCACTTCCCATAGGAACACACTGAGGAGAAGAGAGGAGAGCACAAAGGCAGGCGATACCACCTACATGGCCCAGCTCAAGAAATTTCACCAGGAACCAAATAATCTACCACCTTGATCTTGGTCTTCCAGCCTCCAAAACATTGAGAAATACATTTCTTTTGTTTAAGAGAAAATTGTTTAAGAAGCATTTTGTCTATGGTGATTGTTGTGGCAGCCAGAGGTGACTAACATATATATCTGGACTGATTACCTGTGTGAAGCATATTTTATATTATTTCCTTAAATATAAATTTGCTAGTAATACGTTGAAGGGTGTGTGATTTTCAGGCTTTTCTACCCTCCCATCATTAGGCTTGCCCTTCCTGATGGGGCACCTGCATTTTCTTACATTGTTATGTTCAGTTGTGTTATTTACTTCTGTGGGCCATGGCTGCAGTATTGATATATTTGCCAAAAGAAGCAGAGGCAGGAGAGAGAAAGAGAAAGAAGGGGAGAAAGAATGCCAGAGATGAGGATGTGGAGAGAAAGGAACTCTCCTGCACTGCTGGTGGGAGTGCAAACTGGTCCAACCACTATGGAAAGCTGTGTGGAGATTCCTCAGCCTGCTAAAGATAGAGCTTCCATATGATGCAGCAATTCTACTCCTAGGTATTTACCCAAAGGACACAGAAACATGAATTCAAAAGAGCACCTGCACCCCTGTGTTTATAGCAGCACTATTTACAATAGCTAAGTTTTGAAAACAACCCAAATGCCCCAAAAATAGATGACTGGATCAAGAAGATGTGGTACATATACACAATGGAATGTTATGAGCATTCAAAAAAAGATAAACACATGCAATTTGCAGCAACATGGATGGCGCTAGAAGGGATCATGTTCAGCGAAATAAGCCAGAAAGAAAAAGAAAAATATCGGATGTTCTCACTCATAGCAGGAAACTAGAAAACCTAAATAAGGGACCAGGAAAAAGAATAACTATAAGAAAGAAAAAAATCAAAATCAACAAACAACTATGAACCAAAGACACACTTTGGGGGGGGGGCGGGGGAAAGGAGGGATTGGGGTCAAAATCAGGGGGTTGCAATTGTACGGGGAATATAAAAATAAAAAAATAAATTAAAAAAAGAAAGAAAGAAAGAAAGCCAGAGAGACACAGTAAAGACTTGAGGGGGCTTGGAGGCCTCATGGCCTCCTGGACCCCAGCACCCCTGCCTGTTGTGTACCCAGTTGCCGCACTACACATAAAAGCTCAATAAAAGCCTGAGAAAACCACCAATGGCTCCAGGACTCTCCTTTACCTGCCGTCTGCTCAAATCATAGAAAATCTGCTCTGTGGCCTTTCTGACACTACATACATCTTCTCAGTTTTTGTTCTTCTGAAATGTCTATTTTCCATCCTTATTCATATAGAATATTTTTTATTAGGTTTAGAACTTTGGTTAGGAGCTATTGTACTTCAAAACTTTATTTTATATATATATTATCTTTGTCTTCCATATTCCATTGTTACTATTACTAAATCAATTTTTTAAAAGATTTATTTATGCATACAAGAATTGGGGTGTAGGCCAGAGGTGTCGGGAGTGAGAGGATTCACCAGAGACAGAGTGGGGAACAGAACAGGCAGATCTACTGAAAAACACTGCTGAGGAGATCAGTGAGCGAGTCAGGAGAGGTCTGCTGTGCAATGAGGGAGGCTCCCTGGCCAGGGATTGAACTCATGCTGCTGTGGCTGTGGATAACTTCATACGTTGCTTCTTAACTCCTTGCACCACCAGGGAGGCCCCTATTACTAAATCAATTTTCAATCTGTTATTTCTCTGGAAAATGTCTTTTTTTCCTCTGGCTGTTTCAGATTTTTCTTTTTCTTTTTTTTTTTTTTTGTTTTCAACTTTAGACTTACTATGCTTTAATAATGTGAAATTTATTTTTATTATTTCCTGGGGTTCATAAGGCTTCTTAAATGAATGACTTGATATTTTTGATCAACTTTAGAAAATTCCTTGCCAAACACTGGTAGATTATAATCTTCATGAGAACAGGATCTATATGTTCTTTCAGTCACATTTTATAGTACCCAAAGTGACCAATAAGTATAATGATTTATCAATAATTTTCGTGGGAAACCATATGGATATGTCCTCATTTACTCCTTCTGCTTCTGATGACTATATCTCTCCTTTGTGTCTCAAGTATCCTGTCCTTAAATATATTATACTTCTAATAAGACTGAAACTACTGTGATTCTCAATCAAGGTGCATATCTGTGGATGTATTCAGTTATCCCACATGGGTAAACAAAGCTATGAGATAAATGTAGCCTAACTTATAGAAGCATTTGTGTAGATATATTTATATATAACAAATATAGATAGAGAAAACTCAAGATAATCTTAAGAATCCTCCCTCTCTAGTAGAAACATCACTGAATAGATTGGGGGTGCGTATTTTCATGCAGTTTATATGTATTACCTATTGTCTTTTGCAAGAAGGGTTTAGTGTGTAAAAGGGATCTGAAATCTACTGGAATAAAATGAAAGCTTTGCATTCTTTTTGAAATTAAAAAAAATTGATATAAAGACCAAGAATTTAGGCTATTTTCCCTGATCCCCATTCTCTCTTAAATAGAGATCTTTCAGAAGCAGTATATATACTTTAATCCAGAATTTAGCTGTGTATCTTTGCAAGACCCAAGGCATTGGGATGACATAACATTTAGTCTTTATCATCTCCTATAGTCCCAGAGTTTAGTACAGTTAAAAAGAGCAGTGTAAGAAATGAATAAATACATGAATGATACTATATATTATAGTCATCCTGTCTCTCAGAATAACTTCCTTAGAAAAAAAGGAGTTGGTGGGTGGCAGTCACAAACACTGAAAAAGTCTCAGGAAAGAAACATAAAAAAAAATTAAAGTCAATAAAAGGATGTAAAACATTTACCCATAAAAGGTAAGCACATCTGACAATCTGTTTTAGCAATATTAGTAAAGCTAAAGTGGAACAACTGACATTCTATATAATCATTTTAGTTAATATATTCACTCTAACACATTTTGCATCTATTTGTTTATCTTTGCATAAAGAGCAATAAAAGATCTACTGTTTACTAGCTGCTTAACTTTTGTGAACATAGCATAATTATAAGTGAATTGATAAGTAATGAAAACATTAAGTGTTATGTAAAGATTATGACTCCAGTTCCTAGTAGGGCAATTAAATTTGATGTTTGTTACTCTGTCTCACAGTGAATAATGATATGGTTTCCCTGATGACTATGCAAATAGCTGATTGATAACAATAGAAAAGTGGTTATGGAGGCCAATTCTATTCATTATTAAAGATGTGACTAAGCAATTCATTTTACAATTAAGGTGATTGTAACAATCACTGTGATTAGGTACAGATAAGATCAATGTTGGACCTTAATGAATACAACATAATAAATACATTTTACTTTTTTAATTTATTGAACTATGGTAGGGATAAGAAATGAATGTTATGGAGCATTAGTACTTATAAGCTATGACATGTGTACCAGTGCAGCAGTCCCCTTTGTTCTGAGGGGGGACATCTCAAGAACCCAGTGGATGCCTAAAACCAGGGACTATAATGATAGTACAGAACCCAACATAAACTATGTTTTTTTCTTACAAATACATACCTATGCTCAAGTTAATTTATAAATTAGACACAGTAAGAGGTTAATAGTAACTAAGAATAAAATTAAAAAATAACAACAGTAAAGTGCAATGTAACTTACATGAATGTGGTCTCTTTCTTTTCTCTCTGAAAATATCTTTTGTACCAATATTTTTGAATCATACTTGGCTCAAGGTAGCTAAAACCACAGAAGGCAAAATTGCAGACAAAGGGAGGTGGGCTACTATACATTTGCCTGAAACCAACAAATAAATAACAATATGAAGTATAGTCAAACGTTTCTGAAAGTAAAATTACATAATGTGCAATATGAGTTCATGTGATCTACATAAAATTTGTTGTCTTTTGTTTGCTCTATATTTATTAACTCTCTTTTTAGCAACAGTTTGATAGAAAACTAGTTTCTTTAAAACAAATTTTGTTGATATTTTAAAGACTAAGATCTACCTTTATTTCTGTATTTGACTTGAGTGCTAACATTTCCTGACTATATCAGATATCAGAAGGAAGCAAATGGATAATGACAAATCAGAAAACTTCTGGATTACATCTGTATTGCCCAATAGGCAGACCAGAAATCTAAAGGAATGAACAAAGCAAAGCAACAAAACCATTTTTGGGAAAATTTTCTAATTTATGAAAGGAATAGAATTAGCTATGACGAATATCAAAACTATATTAGGTGTCCTACTAAACGTATTTGATTATTTTGAATGATTTCGCTTTGAATTATACCAGACAGTGTCTGGCTAGGATGTAACATAATTTATAGTGCTTTAAAAGTCTTGCTAAGGACTGACATTTCAGTAACGAAAAAGAGCTGCCTTGGCCCTAAAGAGTAAGATAAAACTCCATATACTAAAATGATGAAATGGTACCTGAGCCACATAGTCTTTTTTTCACAAGGCTGATAGAAGTGTTTATTGGAATTTGGACATACACTGCCTCATGTCACACCCTGAGGCTATTAGGAGTAAAGACTAGGAGATACAGTTGGAAAATGTTTGATGAGCTCATATTATATTATCCTACCTCTTGAAACAAAATCTGACCTAACATTGTAAAGAAAACCAAACTATTCTAAATTACATTGCACTGCTTACTATATAAGAGCATAGACCATTTTGAATCATCAGCCTTTCTCCGTATTTTTAAAATAACTTATTAAAGTTGGTAATACTCAGGTTTCCAAAGTTGCAAGGTGAAAATGATCATTTTAAAAGATAAATTAGTAATTCTAGAAAATGTTTTACTATCAAAAGACAATATTTACAATAACTGCAAATGTTCTTTGCTTGCCACAATTAACCATCTGGCAAATGGGAGATAATTAGGTCATCATTTGGCAATGTGATTTCAATAGACAGGCAGAATACTAATAACAAAATGAGCCAAGTTCATAATCTAATAAAATTCATTATCATTTCTCCAGCACTTCATTTTTGTTTTAAAAGACTTTATTTGCTAATCCTTCAATATCTCTTTGCTGAAGATAAATAATAGAGCACATTCTCAATTGATAGACATTGGAAACTGAAAATAAACATGAAGTAATTTGTCCTTGGTCATACTGCCAGTTTTGAAAATGGTCATATTATTGATTCAGCCTCTGATACTTTCTGACACAATGCACTCAACAAATATTTTCTGGATACTTGTTAGCACTATGTTGGTCACTATAACGCCAATCATGAAGACAGCAAAGTCCTGATACAAATGAGTTAAGAGAAAGAAATGAGAAAAAAATTAAATGCAAGCTTTAATGTGAAGTGGTAACACACAGTTTAGAATAACCAATTATTTAGCAATTAGGAGCAGTCAAAAAATGTTTCATAAAATGAGTCACGAGGATATATTTCAAAAAGTTTGAGAGGAAACCAATTAGCTGTGGGATTTTAAGAAAATAGAAGTCTAAAGCGACTTTCTTTTATTCCTTCCTTTTTTTCTTTTAATTGAAGTGACAATGTAGGTAGCAACCTTAAAGAGTAAAGACAGTTGATGCAGAGTAGCACATTTGAAAGAGAGAATAATGAGTTCAATTTCTATATCACTGAATTTGAGGTTGGATAATACAGAACTTCCTGTTTAAATTCTGGAGCTATTAATCAAGATACAAGTGATACTGAAATAATAGTAACAAAAAAAGACTGGCCAGGGAGAAATTACTGAATAAGAACAAACAAAGACTGAGAATGGAGTTCAGAGGTAACATTGTGTTTAGGAGATGTGGAGAGAGGCCAGTAAAGTATTTTAAGAAGGACTTGTCAGAACTATACAGAGAAGCAGAATATACTGTCATAGAAACAAATAGAAGATCAAAAGAAGGGTGAACCAGTCAGGTTCTATTTTCTCAACTGATGCTATGTAAAAAATATACTAGTGCTTACAACAAAATATCAATTTTTCTTGTATATTGATTTATGGATCAGCAAGAGCAGCTCTGCTTCATGCTTTGAGCAAGCTGTACTTGATTCGAGGTACAGGTTGATTTCAGGTGTTTTCTATGTGTTTCCTAGTTTTTCCAGACCACCACTAAGTGGCATGTTTAATGGCAGGTAAGGAAGGCATGAGGAGCCATTTATATTTAAAGCCTTTGCTTATCTCATATCTATTAATATCCTATTGACTAAAACAAGTCCTATAACAAAGGATCAGAGATACACATTCCACCGACTATAGCAATGGATGTTTTGCAAAGTCATCTGGAAAATGGCATTAAGGATTTGTAGTTCTATAATATGGATACAGTAAAGAATTGAAAACAACAATCCAAAGCACAACAGAAGAATGTGATCAACTGTCAAGATTCCAAATAGCAGAAGATCTAGACTGATAAGAGTTTATTGGAATATAAAGGTGCAAACTCATCTCCAAAAGAATCCCCTATAGCACTGATTATCTACTTTATTTTTTGGAGAAATAGAAATATATGCTCTCTTAAGAAATACTGTGCCCCCCAGCACCCCTGCCTGCCACGTACCCACTGAACCCCAATAAAAGACCTGCAAAAACCCCAAAAAAAAAAAAAGAAATACTTGTGGGGCCTCCCCGGTGGCGCTGTGGTTGAGCGCTGGGTTGCGAAGCTGCCCGCAGCCTCTGCAGCACTGGTTCAATCCCCAGCCGCCGGGCGAGGGTCCCACATAGCACACAGACCTCTCCTTCTGCCCACTGCTCCTCTCAGCAGTGAACTTCATCAGTCTTCCTGTTCTGCTCCCTGCTCTGGCTCTGGTGAATTCTCTCACCCTCCCATACTTCTGACTGTACCCAGTGCTTGTATAAAAAAATAAATAAATCTTAAAAAAAAAAATACTTATAAATGAAACTAGCTCAATTAAATCAAAATTTCTGATGCTGAAATGTAGATATTTCTTGCTTTTTTAACATTTCCTCAGGTAATTCTAATGTACAGGAAGGATTTATAGAAAACATTTGCATTGTTCAGTGGATGTTGACAAAAAATATGAATAGCCTCAATCACATAATTTATTTTTATATTTATGCCTGTGTATATGGTGTGTGAGTATGTGTATATGCACTAAAAGGTAGAAAGAAGGACACAAACATCATGGTAATTACAGGATTTGGGGGAGAATAAATGCTTTTTATTTTATCCTTTGTAATTTTTTGTTTATCTAAACTTTCTGCAGTTAAATATATATCTTCTAAAATTTGAGACAGCAAATAAACATTACTACATAGAAATTCAGACAAATGCAGATGCTCAGAGTAGAAACTACCAAATATTAGAGATTCATGAAAACAGAATAATCTCTGGAAAGTAAAATGATATATTTTGGTACCTGAAGAAAAAGAAGACACTGAAAACTTACTATTCTCTGTAAGTGACCGACCATGAATGGGTTAAAAGATCTAAAAAGATCAGGAAGTGGGATAAATGGAGTGATATACTTTCCTTTGACTCTAAATGGTTCAAGATTTAAACCCAAAATGTTGCCACAAGGATCTAACTATACTGTGAAATACCAGGTGAAAGTAAGATCGAGAACAAGTTAGTGACAGGTCAGTGTCTAATAAGAATTTATTTCCCCTGTCTTTCATGAAACTTAATGTTAAAATTGATCTTTTCATACCATGAAATGGGATAATTTTTCATCTCAGTTTGATCATATCAGGCATATCTTTACCTCTCCAATTGAGGACAAAAATAAAACATACCACTCCAATAGAAAAAAAAGGGAAAAAAAAAACTGGAATAAAATGGAGATGAGGAAAAAGTAGCAATTGCCAAAAGTTTGAATATATAAATATGCAAATGTAATATATCCTAGACTTTAACTCAGTTGATTTGTTGAGCCTTCACAAAAGATATGGGCAAATTTATGACCCATTTCCCTCCGTCTTTTAAAAAATTATTTCGTTTCTGAGCACTGAAAGGGGAAGATAGTCTGCATTTTTGTAAATAAATGTTCCTGTGGTTTGTGAGATCTAGGCACATATGTTTCAAGCATAAATGTTTTCTACTGGGAACTCTATAGAAAACCTATTATCGAGAATTAGATGATTTCATGCCTCATAAGTTTAATACTAACTGGCAGAAGTCAAAAGGAATTAACTTTTTCCAACTGTGTCACAACTCTAAACATTGTGCCAAACATCCTGGTATTTTAAAATTGACTGGGTAAAATAGTCCATTTGTATTGAACTCCCAACTAATAATTGTTTTTGTTTTTATTACTGCTTTTGCTATTGCGCTTATTAATGGGAACCAAATATATGCCCCCTCATGACAAAAGATAACCCATACCTCTAAAGTTACTAGTGTTTCATGTAACAGTAGTTACATAACTTACTTAATACTCTTAAACTACTTCTATATGAATATTAATATTACTGAAGAAAATGAGATAGTTGTAACTTAAAGACACAATTACAAAAAAAAACTTTTGTTTTAAGCTATGTATAATTTCTTCCATAAGAAACCCTGAATATTTACAGTCTAAGCAAAGTTCAGTGGCTGTCCTATGCATGTTAATGACAGAAATGAAATAGCTGAATTCTCAAACTCCATATCCCACATATTTAACTGTACTCTGAGTATCTCTCCTTTATTCAGAGGAAAGATTCAGAGAGCAGAACCACATGATCTCTCCCCCATGATACTGCTAATGATCATTGCTTAGTAGAGGGAACAAATTTTCTCTTATGCAAAACCTATCAACCTGAAGACATCCAAAGATCTCCATGTCCAAAATGAGCTTTAAGTTCTGCCCTAAGATCCCTTTAACCACTATGGACCTCCAGGGAGACAACTATTGCAAATGTACTCAGCATGCAGTAGCAGTAATCCTGAATGGTTTTGAAGCCAAAGAAATAACCCCTCTCACAGTTGAGAGCTCAAAGGGAGGTGAAACTCTTGATACATTAGTACTGCAAGAACATCAGTAGAGGGTAACATTGAAAAGTGGGGAGCAGGTCTCCCAGAAACATAGGAACTAGGTTCAGTCTTACTTCCAAAAAACAATTAATGCACAAATAGTTATTCCTTTTAGCATAGAGGGATTCATTTACCATTTCTTTAGATTAGTACCACCTATTGAGGCAGGCTATGTTTACCCAGGCTACAAGATTACATTTGACTTCATCTACTAATAGAGTGAACAACAAAGAAGTGTAACCAGATTCAGAATAAAATAACATCTGTGTGCTTTGTTAAACATAGAGAATACTGCCCTGTCCATGGAGGACTATGGGTATCTTGGCAGTGGGTGTGGGTCAGGACATGCATCTGAAAAGGTGAGATGTTATGCCTCTAGTTGATAAATAATGTTGTAAACCAACATATTTCAATTTAAAAAAGTAAGACAAGAAAAGGGGGCATATAAAATTCTCTAATTGGCAGTTATACTTTAAAATTGTTATGCTAAAATTGCATGCATTGATACATTAAATTGTGAAAAATAATAACCATGTATAATTAAATCAAATATAATTAGAAAATTTAAAAATATATAAAGGAAACAGGAAAGTCCAAGTGGTCACATAAGATAGCAAAAGTAGAACAGGTTCTCCTCTTCATGGTACCCATGGAAATGCCTTTGCTCACTAACCAGACTGGAAAAGATCAATTGCAACCTATTACTTTCAAAGAAGAAATAACAATCTGTAGCACTCAAGCAAGCCTTCTTTTTTAAAGCTCTTGATTAGAAAATGCCATAAACATGTATAGCATTTAAAATATTGTATTTATTTTTAGTACATTGATTTTTTGAATAGCTATTTAATGATATCTAATTAATTATAAACATTACTAAAGATAAAATCTTGTAAAATGGCATCTGTTTGGGGCTTCAGAGTAGAAGGAGTGCTTGCACAAACATTTTTTTTTCCTGTAATTGAAATGTTATTTACCTCTTCCTAACAGACTAAGCTGTCTACAGGAGTGGTATTTAAAGGTAATGCTGGATTTTCATTTCCTCTATTCTGGCTGTGAATATCTCCTGACACCACCATCCCCACTCTTTTTTTCTTAGATGTCATGAAAGGGCAAACTCAAATATCCAGTGTTTTCATATAAAATGTCATTCATCACATGGTTATACCCATCCATTTATTTCAAATCATTATTGAGAGAGGTCTCAGAAGAAAAACCTTAGGAATAACTCATGTGACATTAAATCTAAAATAAACCCAAAATGTAATCTGCATAAATTCAGACACAACTGTACTAACCATAATTTATAATAAGTTATTCATTTTTCTCTTTCTGTAAATGGGTGCTTATATTCTTAAGCAAGTTAGATCATTTGTTTTAAAAAACCTACTTCTTAAAAAATTTCCATGGTGAAAAACTATTGACAGCTTTCCATGACTCAATAGTATACTTTGAAAGACCAATTTGATGGTAGCCATTTGATCTCTGAATGACACATATTCCAGAAGGAGGTTTAATTATACATCTGACTCCCACTCACCCATTTGGCAGAGTTTCATTTGATTTTTATTATCCATAAGACTTGAAAACATGAGATATAGCTTTATGTTTCATTCCTTTTTATCCACTAAGAAAGCAGAGTTTGGAAACTGAAGTTCACCTTCTTATAGATGCAATTTGTTGTTCCTTTTTGCTTTGGGACTGACAATTTTATTCCAAAAAGGAAAATATATTTTTCTTCTGGATACTTTTGATTAGACAACTTGACTAGGAGTCTCCTTTCTCCCACTTTAGGCCACAAGTTATAGAGTGGAAAAAAAAAAAAAAAAACTCATTACTAAGAATCCTCCCAACATTCCCATCCAATGAACAACTTTAATACACTCCAGGGAATTGGTAACCTAAGATTCAGAGATAAATGGGAATGAGATCTATAGCCTATGGGTCCCAAATTTCTGCCACCTTCCCAATTGAAATGTATATACAGTGAAGATTTGAATGCAGCAAAGTAGTTAAAGAGTACCCTACGACTTTCTGAATGATTTGAAATTTAGTATTTGTCTTGTCACTGCATATGTGTTTTGGCCAAATCATTCAAAATCTCTAAATCTCAGTCTTCTTTGTCTTTAAAATGAACATTATACTAAAAATTACTTCCCAAGGTTATTGTGACTATCAAATAAAATAATGCATGTAAAATACTTAGCCCAGTGTCAGACACATAGTAAGAGGAAAATAAGCAATCACTGTAAAATGACTCAAGTACTTTGCTATTTAAGAATCCAAAGATCAGTAAGTTGGTTCTTCACAAAATTCATAGACTGGTGAGACACAGACAAGTAAAAATACCTTTCATGTGCTGGGGAACAAGCCAGTTGCTATGGGAGCACAAAAGGAGAAAATTCCAGGCCAGAGAAGGGGAACAGTTAAGGTACCATGACATTTGCCTGAAACATGGAAAGGTTTTGGTTAGACTATGTAAAGGAAGGTTGTTAAAAAATCAGAAAGAGAGGACCTCCCAGGTGGCACAGCGGTTGGGCGCTGGGCTGCGAAGCTGCCCGCAGCCTCTGCAGTGCTGGTTCCATCCCTGACCGCCAGGCGAGGATCCCACATGGCATGCAGCCCTCTCCTGCCGTGCCCGCTGCTCCCCTCAGCAGTGTGTTTCGTCCGTCTGCCTGTTCTGTTCCCCACTCTGGCTCTGGTGAATTCTCTCACCCACCCGTGCTTCTGACTGTACCCAGTGCGTGTATAAATAAATAAATAAATCTTTAAAAAAAAATCAGAGAGAGAAGAGATCCAGTGTGTCCCAAGGAGCCTAATTTATTAAGTCCCTAAGTAACTAAGGCATAGGCATTAGCCAATATTCTTGTGTTTATCTTCCTTTAAGAACATAAAGCAGGGGCCTCCCCGGTGGCGCAGCAGTTGAGTGCTGGGCTGCAAAATTGCCCGCAGCCTCTGCAGTGCTGTTCGATCCCAGGCCACTGGAGAGGGTCCCACATAGCACACAGATCTCTCCTACTGCCCGCTGCTCCCCTCAGCAGCGTACTTCCTCGGTCTGCCTATTCTGCTCCCTGGGCCTGCTCTGGCTCTGGTGAATTCTCCCGCACTTCTGACTGCACCCAGTGCTTGTATAAATAAATAAATAAATCTTTTTTTTTTTTTTTTTAAAAAAAAAGGAACATAAAGCAGAATTTGCCTTCTCTCCTGAACGAAGCATAAGGATACAGCTAAGCACAAAATCATGTCATTCTGCTTCTATAGAAGCCTCACCAAATTTTCTTCTACTTTAAAAAAAAAAAACACTAGAAAGGAAAGGGTAGGTATTTTATTATTTTTGCATAAAATGTAATGAAATGTAAATTTACTAATACTATTAATGGATTACAGCTATGAAAAAAAATTCTTAAACATCCATACTATCCTAAATATGACTCACCACTATGGAATCTTTCTAGTACCCACTGTCCTGTTAAGAGGCTTTACATTTAATCTGATTCTTAACAATTTGGTTCCAATAAAGCCCATTCATCTTTTAGGTAAACTTTTGGGTGGTTTTGGAATGCATTAATGTTACTGCAGGTATAAATGTGCTTTGTGTCTTTTCCTTGCATCAGTTACAAACTATTATATTAGGAGCTGTTTATTTTCAATTCAAATTTTAGAGTAGCTTAGGTAGTGTTGAAGAGATTCAACTCTTGTTTTAGAAAGGTTCCCATTTTCTTTCTAGTCATTTGAATCCAGCTGGGAAATAAATTTTCCATTAGAACTCACTATTCAGACACTGAAAGTTTAGACTTCAGCTATTACTCCTACTTCTAAAAAGGTTTACAGTTACAGCAAATGATACCTGCTACTTTTCATCCTTGCCACTCCCATACATACATAGATTTAGAATAAAGCATTAGTAAATAAAAACCTAAAATTTTATTAACATAGTTTATATTTTATTGTAGGCTTTATAAACCATGATTAATAAAAAAACAACCAATGAAGTAGAATGAAAATTAATAGTGAAAGTGATATTAGAAGTCACATGAGTAAAATATTTAACAGAGAAAGGAGTGATCAAATGCACCAAATATTGGTAGAGTTAAATTGAATGAGAACTCATTCAATTTCAGAACTCATGGCTGAGAACTGATGCTGTGTTTTTAGCTATGTGGAGGCCTTTAATGACCTTGACAAAAGCAATTTCAGTGGAAGGACAGAAGACTTACTGAAGTAGGTTCAAGTAATAATGGCTGGAAAGTAACCAGAGAGCATGAAGATACAAAACTCATATGAATAATTCTGCTATAAAGGGGAAACATTGGAGAAGTAACTGAGATATATATAGGTTAAAAGAGGAAGTTTGGAGAAGTAACAAAGCATTTGTGCATACAGAAAGATGTGATAAGTGAGGGGAAGATGGTGAGAAGGATGACTATTCAGGAGAGAGGGGAAATGGTGGAACAATATCCTTAATTAGACCAACATAGATTAAAAGAAATTTACCCTCTAGGTAGAGAGATTGGCCTTTTCTCGGAGCACAGGCATTTCAACATTTAAAGAAGGTTGACGCAGATGGACAGTTTGTTGTGGTGGCAGGAATTTGCTGAAATTCTCTTCCAATTAAATTTACTTAAATAAGTAACAAGAATTTAATCTGAGATTGAGGATGAAGGAATGTGTTTTAATAGCTTAAGAGAGGACATTATGTGAAATAATTATAGAAGAGAGCTGAAGGGTGAAAAAACTAGAAAAATCTAGCATAATTGTCAGCATTAAGAGTTCACTTTAGGTTAGTGATCCTGAATTTAGAGTGAAACCATTCAGCATGGTTGTGTGTTTTCTCCTGCAATGTTCAGTTATAGAATAGCAATTAGCAATTAAGGAAGGTTGTAATTTTGATAAGTGAATATGATGAGACAACAAAGGGGCAAGAAATTCAGGAGTACATACAAGAGAATGATTATAGTGATTGTTCATGGTATTTTAATTCTAAACAGATGGTAGTCAAGCCATGAGGTAATAAGGAGCAGAGAAAAAGTGACAAAATCAATGAGTTCTATATCCTTGTGATGTAAAATTATTGCTGGATTTAGAGTACTAGAAGGAATTTTGGATGAAAGGATAAGTGTACATGAACAGAGAATTAAATGCTTGGAATTGAAGTCATGTTATGACAGGTCTAGGTTCTGGCCACAAGAGTGAATATCTAAGGTAGGTGAAAATTAAGAAAATTAGAAGAGAGAAGTTCAAAGAAATGAAAGTCTGAAGTACTGAAAGGAAAATCTACATGGATATTGATGTCCTCACAAATTTTGATAATGGTGTTTTTAAGAAAGAAACTGAGCCTGTAGATAATGTCTTTAAGTAAGAGGATTAGATGATAACAAAAAAGTGTGTGGTTGGTACAATTTTATAGCATGAGGATCAAAGTTGAAGGTTTAGGCAAGAGGGAGAGAGAATAAACTGAAAGCAGTTAGGAGACAAGAATGACAACCATACTCTATAGTCTCCTTCAGACAAAACATTACAAGGACAGTGGAAAGGACAACCACTTGAAATGGTTTTAAGGAAAGCAGCATCCTCAGGTAAGAGTTAGATTTGAATCAGAAGAAGGTGAGGACAGAGGAGATTTCTTTGAAGGGCACTGAAAAGAGCAGAGAAAAAATCTTAAAAGTCTCAGGAGTTGAAAAGAGTGATGTTAGAAATGTACAGTCTTTGGGAATCTAGAGGAAGACGGAGGAAGATAGACTGGCTCTTCTTGTGCTGATCAGCATTAAAAGGCCATCTGAATCAGATGTATGTCAAATATAGCCTTGAAAGACAGGTATCCAACAGTCCAGGCATCAGACTATGGTAAAGGGAACCTGGCCTTTGGTTTAGGCCAAGCTTCACAATAGGAGATAAACTAGTTCTTCTGTTATGATCAGGAACTGGGTTTCAAGACTTGTGGTTATAGCATTGCAAGACATGGAAGAAACTTGAATTTCCACTCTATATTGTATTTCCCGCTCTCTATATTAATTTCTGGGTGAGTACCAATATTTCTCCTGACAGTACCAAGAGATTTAAAGGATTTTCTTCAGCAACAGAGAAACTATATGGCATGCTGGTGGTGACACCGCCTCTCCAAGAATTGTTTTAATGCTTTATCTTTTGATTTCACAGAAGAGTAACACCGTCTACAGGAGGCCAAGTCAAAGAGAATTAGTTTCATACATTATTGCCCTATTTCTCAGGTTATTCCTTTTCATGTATTATGGCCTGGCTTCTCAACCACTGAAACAATGTTTGTCCATTAAGCCTATGATGCTATTTGCTAATCTTGCTTAAAATATCCTTGATGACAGTAAAGCCAATCAATAGGAAAAAGAAATATATAATAACGCCTGTGACTGATCCCAAAGCTAGGGGGGCCAAGACCAAAACAATAGAAGAGATGCCCAGTGCTTATTTAGGCAACTAAGACAATCATTTCCCCACATAGAGGAGGCTAAGTATCTTCCTTATCATGGTGTTGATCTATATAGAAGATAACTATATCATTTATTTCCTAAATGAAAGGGAAGAGCACAAGGGACTATGGTGATGGTGCACAGGTGAATTGGGGGTGGTATATGGGGACTACACCAAAGACAAAGCATGCAGTTCACCTCCTTGGTGGCGCAAGGGGTTGAGCACAGTGCTGTGAAGCTGTCCACAACCTCTGCGGCGGCGTGGGTTCGATCCCCTCGCTGGCCAGAGAGCTACCCACATGTGCAGCAGACCTTTCCTGTCTCTCCCACTGTTCCCCTCAGCAGTGTATTTCAGTCAGTCTGCCTGTTCTGTTCCCCACTCTGTCTGAGGTGAATCCTCTCACCCCCCCACACCTCTGACCTGTACCCCAGTTCTTGTATACATACATAAATCTTTTTAAAAAAAGGAAAAATGATGTAAAATATGTATAAAATTTAAAAAAATGCAAAGAAAATAAATAAAAGCTAAAACAATAAAATGATATAGTCAAAGAAGGTGCTTGTTCAGAATTACTCCTGATGCACAGGATTAAACCAGACTGTTAGGAATGGCTCCCAGACCACAGCCATTATAAATCTGAAACTGCTGGGGAAAGATACTCAACCACATAAAAGAAACAGCCTGCGAGTCTAGTTATCCACTGCAGAAAGGAAATGAGTCATTAGAAGGATCAATCAATTAGAGGCGGCTCTTCCCATAATGGACACAAGTGTTTCATATAGTTGAGCAAGAATGGTATTCATGGCTGCAGTGAATTATAGTGATGCTGATTAAGAGAGAGTATATAAGAATTATGTTGTGGGACAAAGAAGGAACTAATCAATTCCAATGAGGTGGAGCTGCTTTGGTTCGGTCCTAAAGAATTAGTTGAATGACTACGACATGCATAAACAGAAGGAATGAAATGTGTAACGATAACTAGGAAGCAACATCAAATTTCAGG